AAAAATTTAGTTCAAGGTTGTCTGATCCTTGCCCTTGGAAAGGATATCACAACTGAGGTTCCATGTGGCAGAGGGTCTTCATCACCTTTTGGCAGACAGGAAGTACATAGTACATAGAGTGAATACAAGAAGAGTGCACATAAGTTAGAGACCCCAAAGACACACCCTACTGACCAACTTCTTCCAAATAACCCACATACTGCTTCTTACTATTTCTCCATAAGGCTGTCATATTATAAACTCATCAAGGGATAAATCCATTCATCATGTTAAAACTACCATAATATAGTTATCTCTGAAAATGCTCTCATACTCACATGCAGATGTGTGATTTCTTAATCTCCTATATGATGTCAGTCAAAAAACCTGACAGCTGAAATTAACCACTTGACAATTATTTCCAGAGTATGTGTACCCATCATCAAATTAATTTGCTCAAAATGTTTAATGGAAATAACAAACATAATTCCCAAATCTGGAACATTTGTGCACCTGAAGGAAGTTTGGAACTTAACAAATCTTCATTGAATCTTTTACAGCAAGGTAATGACAATTATTTTGGTATTAGTGACTTTATTCATGAATGCAATTTCTAAGGGGCACTTAACCATGTTTATGTGAAACTAAATTGTGTATGAACTCAATACATAAAATCACTTGCTTCTATCTCTTTCTGCCTTTACTTTGGTATTTATACCCATTAAAATATATCCTAGGATTGTTGAATAAATTTTGCCAATATTGCTTAATGAATTTGGAAAGCCCAGTTGTGCATCACATAATATAGACTTTATAAAAAGGCAGTTTATCTTGTCTCCAGTTACAAAAGGCACTCATTAATGGGATATGAGTTCTGAGAGGAAAGCACCAAAATAGCTAAAATCATGCATACTGAGGGAAATCTTTGTGAACCAAGAGGGGAATATTCCATGTTTAGTGGAGCTTATTTGATGTCACCTCTGTTACAAGCAAGATACTGATTGTGGGGATTCAGAAGTGAAAGTTAGGCATTTCTGTTAAATGTATATGTTATCCTTATGGAAGGAGAAAAATAAAAGGTACTGTTACTGAACTAGGAAAGAAAAATAATAGATTGCAGATTTTAGTAGAATGGTACGAAGTTTAACCTTATCATTAACTAGTGATATCCAAAATAATGTTAGCCATATATTTTACATTCATCCTAAATGGAGAGCATTATCTTTTAAATCCTTCTTCACTGCAGTTATCTCAACCAGTATTCATCCTAGATGAAAATGTGGAGTCCAGAGACACTTCAAACCTGCTAGCATGTGAGCTAGTGGGAATTCTAAATTAAATGATATGAAATTCTGATTTATCTGTCACTTGGATGATTAGTAAGATGCTTGTAAAATGGAGGATGGTGGGGACAGGTACAAACACTTCTTTGTTTTTTACAAAAAGAAGCTGGTAGGCTGAGTACAGTGGTTCATGCTTATAACCCTGTTACTCAGGAGCAGAGATTGAGAGAATTTTTTGGAACCTCATAATAAACAAATACATGAAGTTCATAGAACTCATATTTGAAAATCTGCAGATTGGTATCCTCCCATTTTCCCCAGAGCCTTTCATATTGTCATCTCTTTGGGAAGCAATGTTTCTGATATGGTCATTTCTTCATCCTCCATTCAAATCAGAACTTAATGTGTTATGCTGATTTCTGCCAGGTCATGACTGAGGAATGTGGCTCCAATAACTTTTTCATGACTAGTGTCCAATAAAGTGTCAACATCACTCCTAGAACTCACATGAACACAACCTTAGCTAGGAACTTGCTGAAATGCAGAAAACCAGATGAGGGGACACAACCATATGGACTGCAGCAACCATATGGACTGAACTGGAACTACCAAATTGGAGGCCTGGCCTGAATATGTATTATTATAGGAACTTGGCAGCTCAAGGCACAGAAATCATAATAGCTGAATTGACTCATTTTATGACAATATCGAAGAATTATACTTATCAATGGAGAAAGAACTAGAATTGCAAAGAAAATCAATAGCAGATTTTTCACTTTTCTTCTGATCAGAAAAATTTTGTGTGTAATGTTCACTTATTTTGAGGTTTTCTAAAAAGATCTATTTTCTTTTTATGCAGTAGCATATTGTAAATACTTATACACATGTATCATAAAAGTTACTACTATAAACATGGGTAAATGCATAGTTCATTCACTGATTATGTTTAAGTTTTTATGCAACAATCAGCATCATCAATTAATTTTTTAAAACATTCACAACCTCAAAATTATAACCATTTAAACATAATTCTTCCTCTTGTCCCAATATTTCTTGCATGAAATATATAGGGGAAATGATATATTTTAATTACAGAAATAATGTGCTGAAGGAGGCAAGATTTATTTTCTGCATGTTTGAAATTACATTCTAAATGGATGCCAAATTTCCTTAGACTAGATCGATCCATTTTGATGTCTCCGTTGGGTAGCTTTTATTGACCTTATTTTTTCAAGCTGAAGGTGAATTAATTCAGTGGCAGAATGACCACAGAGGACATGACTGAGGTCATTCTCTTTCTGGAAAAAAACCCACCACTTTCTCCTGTATTCATTGCATAAAAATTAAAAATGTAAAAAGTAAAGTTTTAACCGTACTAACTGCTTTGACATTGTTGTTTTTTCCTTTTTGTTAGTGTATGCTAATAAATTGTACAAAGTAAATTGTTTTACTGTGATATTTGCATACATGTATACATTACACTTTGCTTCTATTCACATCTTATGTTTCTTGCAACCTTTCTACTTTGTCCCTTTTCCTTATCCCTTTCACATCTGTAGTATTCCTTCACTTAATGTCGTGTTTCCTTTATTTTGTTATTTTTCATCTATAATTATGAGAGAAAATTGATTTTTCTAAAATGAAGAATTCAATCACTAAGATTAGTGAGATAAATACAGTTGTCAAATGGCAGTGGAGCTTTGAAATTTTGCAAGTGTCAAATTTGTGTATCAGCAAAAAGAGTAAGTTCCACAGAATCTCTTGCCATTATGCCACTTTTTTCTGTTTTTTAACCATGGAATTTATACCCATGGGTTTTTAAGTAACTAATCTTGTTACTGATGTTGAATATAATTACAGGTTATTTATTAATTTCTTGCAACTTCATGGCATCTACTTATATAAGGAAAATATATTACAGAAACAGCAATACTAAGTTAAGGTCACAAGATACTTTTGTTGACTGATGTAAAGATTGATCATCAATTTAGAAACTATCCCACTCATATTTGTCTTTAACTTGCCCTTTTCTTCATTCATAAGATACATTTCATAAATGGCGCACCATTACTTATTTACTCATTATTCATTGCAGTTGGATAAGCTTGAAATCAGCTTTGATCATAATGCTGGGTCCCATAGAAATTTTAAAAATCTATGCCAATTCACAGAAACAGTGAGTGGAGTCACAACATTCATAATCAAATCGTCACTTTCTGGGTTTTAGTCACTAAGTTCTGTCAGAAAATTTTAACCTCTTACAGATGTCTTTCGTATTCAAAGGGTCACTTGAGGAGTTTTTAAACATTACCCAGGTTCCTGAGTACAAATGATACAAATACTTGATATTATTCCTCTTTTGAAATCTAATGGACTGATATATATAAAGAGATTGTGGTCAGTTTCAAGAATATTTGACTGGGGCAGGAGAGTGATCTGCACTGAAATATAATACACTTCTTTTCTGTAATCTACAGATACACTTCTTATAAATCACATAGCAAGATTTCCTATGTCTCTAATTAGACTATTGAATTTCAATGTAGCATCACTTACCTCTACTTAAGATACTATTTCAAAGGCGTTGCAAGTACATTATTTCCTTACTATGGTTTATAACTGTGCAGAACTCTGTACAGATAAAATGAAAACAGATTCCTACAGTATATAATTCACAGGCTGGCATTTGTGGAGGACGAAAATAGAACTCATGATGACATTTGGTGTTGTTCTTCTCATAATAAATCTCATAATCACATACATAAGCTTATAGGATTTCTATAGGAGCAATTACATGGCTCCAATTTCTGGGATCATGGATTAAATGTATATGGGAAATACATCCAGGATCAAAGGAAAACAAAAATTTGAATAAGGGCTTTGCGGCCCCATGCACAACCATGAAACTAAATTCACTATCACTTTAAACTGAAAATTTCTATACTGGTATATCCCCAATTGGCTACATGAACTATAAATTTTATCTTCATCGAAAAGAAAATGCAAGTGATAGTTCTCCCCTGTCTGTCACCTCCCAGAGTATTTACTGGATTACTGTGCATGCTGCTGTCTCATGAGCAAGGAAATGCAGAAGCAGTGCCCTACTCATCCTGGAGCCAAGTGAAACTTCAGGTATCATCTCCGGGGTTGATGTAAATACCATGTCAGATGGAAGTTTCCATCAGGAGACATAAAGATATGGAGCCCAATGGACTGGAACCCTCAAATTCATTACAACTATATGACTTTCACTGATCAATGTACAGAGGTCGTAGTGAGTCTAAGAGTTCCAATTATCCTGAATGTCAAAATCTTTCTAAAAGTAATTACTGAAGAGGAAAGAAAAGAAAATGAATATCCACAATCATCTTGGTCGCTTCCCCTATTCCCTTTGCAATGTTCACTTAATTCACTTCTTTTAGTTTTTTAATGCCAAACTTCTTTATTGCATAGTTTATTGTGATAAAGTATTTAAACAAAAATAGCATTCTACCAACTTTTCAGTGTGCAAGTTAATAGTGTTAACTTTCTCCACATTGTTGTTCAATGATCGTGGTCATTCATTTCAAAAATTGATATTTCCAAATACATTTTATTCTTCACACCCCACAATACTCTAAACCATAATTTTGCTATGTTCCATGGTCAGAAATTAACAACATAACTCTACAAAAATAATATCGTCAGGAGAAAGAATTCACAAACTTAGATATTTAATATTAATCTCTTTGTCCTCAACTACATAGAAATTGGTTTGCTTAGAACCTGACATGAAAATTTTCTGCTGTAGAGCCTCCTCAAGGTATTTAAAATGTCTGTGTTTCTCAGGCTGTAGATAAAGGGATTCAGCATAGGTGTGACAATTGCATACATTATTGAGGACACCACACCCTGTCTGGAAGAATTTGATACAACTGATTCAAGGTACTGTCCAATTGCTGTTCCATAAAATAAACAAACAACAGAGAGGTGTGAGCCACATGTAGAAAATGCTTTATACCTCCCACCTAATGAAGTGATTTTCAGAATACAGGAAACAATTTTATAATAAGAGGACAGTATTATTAAGATGGGGAAAAAGGCAAATATCATACCAAGACAATATGTGATTATGGTTTTGGCAACTGTTTCAGAACAGTCAAGATTAAGGATTATAGTAGGTTCACAGAAGAAACTTGAAATTTCAATGTCCTTTAAGTAAACAAACTCTAAGACAATCAAATTATGCAATTGAGAGTCCAAAAGGCTAACTAAGCAGGATGCAAAAACTAGCATGGCACAGAGGCGAGGGTTCATAATGATTGAGTAATGCAGGGGTTGACAGATGGCCACAAACCGGTCATAGGCCATCACAGTCAGTAGCATATAATCCATACATCCAAAGATTATAAGAAAGGACATTTGTGTGAGGCAGCCTACGTAGGAGATGATTCTGTTGTGAGTCTGGATGTCCACAATCATTTTGGGGACTGTAGTGGAGATGAAGCAAATATCAACCAAGGACAGTTTGGAGAGGAAGAAGTACATGGGGGTGTGGAGGTGGGGGTCACAGTTGACAGCTAAGATGATGAGCACGTTCCCAAGCACTGTGATCAGGTACATGGACAGGAAGAGTCCAGAAAGGATGGGCTGTAATTCTGTATCTTCTGAGAGTCCCATTAGATAGAATTCTGGGATATGTGTTAAATTGTGTGGTCCCACATTTCTTTGACACCTTTTGAGATAAAAAGATATAAAAAGTAGAGACAAATTATTGGAAACCCAGAGCTCTGCCTATATTTTAATTCAATTATTCATATTTGAAGTCTATATTCCATCAGGAATATTTCTTAGTTGTCACAAACCATTGTTTCCAGAATTTTTGCACAGTGGGTATGTTTTATGCAGTAGTGGATCCTTCTATACATATCTCCTTATGGCACTCAGCCGAACTATGTCAGAATGCCAAGAATATCACAAGTAGCAAGCCCCTTGATAACAGAAAAATACAGCATATTATCCAAAAGATATTAGAGAAAAATCACCATTTCCTGTTATTATCATTAACATCATTCTATTTAAATATATTGAGAAGATTTTATATATTTTGTTTAAGTAAGGAACTAGTACAAATTCTTTAGTTTATGTAATATATAATGATTTTGAAACATAGTATTAGGTTATCTGAAGTTCATCTTAAAATTGACAATGCAAATTGTACTGTGCAAGATTTCTTTCTAGAGATTTTCACCATTCCTGGTTTTTCTGATTTTCCTCAGAAAAGAATGTAAATGTTCACCTAAATTTTTATGGTTTTCAAAAGTTACTTGGTATATACTTAATATAAAACTTATTTTCTTGGGTGAATTTTAAAGTTTCTTTAGTTTCTCTTTTTATGTGATCATTTTTATATTCATTCACATGTGTACACATTGTTTGGGCCACCTCTCTCCCAACCCCACTACATGCACGTTAAGCTATGATAGCACTGACCAAAAATATGTAGTAGAGCGTATTGATTCTGCCAATGACTTAAAATAAATAAATGTTCCTAGATACATGTTGGAGCAAAGACAGCCTCTTTAACAATAATGCTGCAAAAGTTGGATTTGCTATGTAGAATACAAATCTAGATATACATCTCTTTCCTTATCAGATAAAATGGATCATATGTTGTAATGTAAGTCCAGAAATATTATAAGTCACAGAAGAAAAAAAGGAAATTACCTAAGGACATTGCATAGACAACAACATTCTGAACAAGATTCCAAGCTGAAGAAATGAGCATAAGAATTGAAAATCCAATTAATCAAATGAAAAGAGTACTTTTGAATCGAGGAAAACAATAACAAGAATGAAGAGAAAACCTATAGAATAGAAAACAATTTCCAACTATTCATCTGACAAGTGGTTGATATAGATAATATATGATTTACTCAGAAAAATACCTAGCCAAAGAATAAATAATCCAACAACAAATGGGCATGCAAAGCATTCAAAGAAGAAATTATAAAGTGTCCAATACACACATGAAAAAGAGTTCAGCATCCTTAGACATAAAGAAATTCAAATCTTAATGATGGCTACCATCAAGAGAACAAACAATAGCAATTCTTGCAAGGATGGAGTGAGGGAAAAACACTCACACAGTATTGATGAGAATTTAAATAACTGCATCCACTATGGAAGTAAAAATGAATGTTCCTGAAATTCTAAAATGGAAATAACATATGATCCTGTCATATCATTCCTGGGCATATATCTAAGGAATTCAAAGTCTACATACAACACAGATTCAGTAACACTCTTGTTTATTGTATTAAAATTCACGAAAGGCAAGTTCATGGACTTAGCCTATGTCCCCATAAACATATGAATGGGGCAATTGTTCAGTCATAAAGAAGAATGGAAATATGTCATATGTAGGAAAATGTGTGGACCTGGATGTTACTATGTGAGTGAAATACGTGAGAGGAAGAAAGGCAAATATCAGGTTTCTGTTATATGTGGAGTATAGATTTAAAAAGAAACATCCTATTTACCCTCATATGTGGAAATTAACCTAAAATATAAATGTATACATAGATCCATACATGATCACATGATCAGATAGATAGACAAATAGATGGATACATAGATAGATAGATAATGATCCTAATAGTGGTACTGTTCGAGAAGACTAAGAGAAAGTGGAAGAGGAAATGAGAATGGCAGAAAGTGAATAATTTTGAAACACACTGTGTCAGTATATGAAGAAGGCATAAAAAACACACTGAAAGCTGTCAAATAATAGGTGGACAGGGGAGATATAGAAAGAGAGAGAAGTAGAGGAGTTTAATCTGACTAAAGCACAATATATACATGTGTGAAATACCATGACAAAATCCCTTTGAACAATTAATAAACACATGAATGATGGACAGAATTATACAACAGGTCCAGCTTGGGTATGAATGTGTGAGGTGAATGAAGAGGAAGAAAGAGGGTGAATATGGTCCATGTGCTTCTTTTACTTGCATGAAAAAGAACAATTAAATGAGTTGAAATTGTTTTAAGAATGGAGGTAGAAGAATGAAGAACAATGAAGTGAGTGTGTGAATCTACCCAGGATACATTGTAAGAATATATGGAAATTTCAAAATGAAGAACTCTTTTAGAACTAGTATAAGTTAATAAAATACAAAATCAAAGGAAAATAACACAAAATAAAATAAGAAACCTAGTAGATCTAAAGAAAAAGTGGACATTAACATCAATGTACTAGCAGGAGGTGGTAGGGGAAAAAGTGCAGGTGAACATGAGAGGAATATGATCAAAGTAAACTGTCTCCACGTAGGGAGAAGTCATAAGGAAACCCATTTCAAAAATGCAAGGAGGCTGCAAGAGCAGGGAAAAGACCTGTGCAAACATGAAGAGGAAGTTTCACTGTGTTTGCATCAGAACTAATTATATTTACAACTGAAATTTTCCCAGGACATTTCTGTACTTTTATCTCTGCATGATTTTCCTCATCTTCACATTTCCCTAAATGGAATATTTAAATGTAAAAATTTATGTTTTTTTTTTTTTAACCTATATTTTACCTAATATTTGTTAACATAGTATACAAAAATTATAACCTATGAAATGTACTAGTTTTCCTTAGCAAACTCTTTTAAGTCTCTCTGGGAAGCAATACATCTATTTCCAATGCCTTTTTAAAATTAATCTTTAACACATATTAATCATACATATGAATGGGATTTACTGTCATATTTGGAGGTATACATATATCATGTATCAACCATATGTATCCAGCCTTCTGTTGTGGCATTACCAAAGACAAAGGAATCATTAGCTTGTAACTATTATTACAATAATCCTGTCAAAATTATTGCGCTTCTCTTATGTGACACAAATTACAATTTGTATATAAAAGGTTATATGAGCATATTTCTCTAATTTCCAATAAATAGTGTATATTCAAATTTACTATTAATCACCTATTTTTGTTTTGCCAATAAAGAGAGTATCTTTATCATGCATGTATATTTCTCCTGAGATGTACATAAGTATACACTGAATATTATTCACCAATAATTAGTTTATGACATTGCAACAAGAATCCTGTACAAAGATTGATATTTCCACATGAATTCTGTAGAAGAGGAAGTTTCTGGGGATTTGAATCAGAAAAGGAGCTCGTTTTCTCTGCTATCATTGAGCTGCTAACATGAACAAAAGATGTGTGAGTCTCTCCATCTCTTTCTACTTCTACAGCTTGATGAAAATGGAGAAAATCACCACTTCCACACAGCATACATTGCACCAAAGGAAGTGACTAATTTAATAAATATTGATCTTTGTGTTTTTAGAATAATAGTGAATTTCATCAGTATGAAAATAATGAAATTATTGAGGATTATGGTTTGCAAACAGCACTGTAGTGGTCCGTGGAGCTCTACAGTGTCTCACTCAGACATGGGGTTTAACTCCACTCTTCTCATTGTGCTCACTTTTTTATTATTCATTTATTCACTTGTTCTTACGTTGTTTGGGTCATTTCTCCCTCCTGCCCAATTTTATTCATTTCACCATGAAAATCTCTGCTATGTTTTTGAGTAACTGATTGACATAGATATGATTTAATAGGTTATAAGGTTAAGGTTCCATGACATAGACAGAAACAATAGCTATTTTATTTTTTCTCTACTTCTGAGGGACATTCCAGAAAGTGATGAAAGTGAGGACAGAAAATCACAAAATGTGTTGAAGCCACATTAATTGTAAGCAATTACTGCGAACTATGGAAGGGTGTTTTCATTGGTAAACACAAAGATTTTTTTGTTTCATTACACTTTTGTGCCAGAAAATTATGGCTTTGAAGAATCACAATGGAAAGTGAGTGATTCTTCAAAATATACACAAATGCAAATATAAAATTCCCTCTTTCAGAAGTAGGTAAATGATAACTTCGGATCACATAATATTTACTTTAATCATTTTGACATTTAATCTTATCACTATTAATAGTAGTATCTAATTTTTGTTTATTTTATACATATATCACACATTAGCTGTGCATGTAGCATCCATTATCTGTTTAAGCCTTTCTCAGGTATGAATCAACTTAGACAGTAATGATGATTCTCAGAGATATTAGCAAACATCCCTTTATTACAGTAATGATATATTGGGTAGGCAGTTTTTCAGATTAAATTACCAGATCTGTTTTCAATGTACTAAATAAATTCATTATTTCCCAGTAAAAACAAAGTTTTAAGTAGAGATCCAAAAGTCTTAACCACAGGTATACCTGAGGTGCATTTTCTCATTCCATTTTCCTAAGTTGGAATGAAACCAAGACCTGAATTTTATCATTTTTGAGATAGATTGAGCTGATTACAACATGCAAGAAATATGTGGGCAGTCTTAATGGTATCCTAGAGTGTGGGCACTAGAGGTCTGTGTTCAGTATCAAGTTCTTTCTCTTTTTGTGATGTTTGCCTGTTATCTGTGGCTTTACTTCCTGTATTGATTCATCTGGTGACACACTGCACAGTTTTGTGGCCAATAAGGGTTCCCAAAATAACAGTGGACAAGGGAACTCTTCCTGAAGTGGTAGGAAATGAGACAGCTCTTTGAGTTTTTAAAAGGGGCTTTCAAGGTCTTCAACCTGCCAAGATTTCCTTCTATATAACTCTGTGTCCATAAGTGGATAGCTC